TTTCAGATATGCAAAATCAGAAAATTCCAGCCCAGAATATAAAAACTGTTTACAAATTGCAGTGTTTTAACATCTTTTGATACTTTGAAATCATTTGACAATATCATGACAAAAGAAAAGAGAAAAAGAACACAGTCTCAAAGATAGACACATTAAATAAATAGATAGAAAGAAATTGAAAGAAAAAGATAAAGAAAAAGATAAAGTAAAGAGAGACTATAACAAAACAAATTATTAAAAGAGAGTGTATAGCTGTTTTAACAGACTATATCTGATTTATTTCCTCCTCTTCATACTCAGATAATTCTGAATTTAGCCATTTTCTTATAGCTGCTTGAGTTTCTGATAGAAAGTCTATTAAGTATTTAATTCCTGTCTCAGTTGAGAATAAGAATCTCATATTTAATTGATTTAGATCATACTTCTCTTTCAATCTGGCTCTGAGACTATTGTATAATGCACAGTGCATTACAATATGCTCAGGATTCTCATTTGTATTGCAGAATGAGCATTCTATTGAGTCAAATCTATCATCAAATCTTTGTATATAAGATTTGAAATAGCCATGTCCTAGTTTCAGCTGTATTATAGATGAGAATATTTTCTTTTTACATTTAATTGAACAAGATTTCCACTTGGGTTTTGTTTCAAATCTTGAATAATGTATACTCTTCTTTTGTTTCTGCCAGCTTTCATTCCACTTGTCTAAACAAGATTCTTTTATTTTTCTCTTTATAAAAGACCAGGACACAATTTTTTGAATAGATCTGCTTAATTCTGCACCCTTTTTTGCAGCTGAATCAGCCAATTCATTACCATGAATATTCATGTGAGCAGGAACCCAGTGTAGATGAATTATCAGCTTTGATGTTCTTCTCTTTTGAATTTTCAAAACAGAGTTTAAGATCAGTTCAAGATTCATTTGATCATTATGAATCTGACTATTTCTAAGTCTTTTTAAAGCAGCTTGACTATCAGAGAATATCCATGCCTCTTTCAAACAATTTCCTCTTTTATAAGATTTTATTTCAATGAGTTTGAAAGCTTTCACTATTGCAAATAGTTCAGCATCAAAGACTTCACATTCAGAGCCTAGATTCCAGAAATCTGAGATAAAATTAATATTATCTTCAGTACAAGCAATGCCTGCGCCTAATCTATTCAAGTTCTCATTTTTTGAGCCATCTGAATAAACCAGAATAGAGTCTTTTATATTGATTGTAGAAATTCTCTTCAAATGCTGTTCATATTCTTTCTCTTTTGATAGTTCACTTATTTGTAAGTCTATAAGAGATTCAAGCTTTTCTCTCCAGGGAGATAACTTCTCATGATCAACTTTTTCAACATTTAAAGAAGAAAATTGATTTTTAATCAGAGAGCATAGTCTGTACAGTTGAGAAGGCATTTTCTTTGAAGAATTATTTTCATTCCAATCAAGAAATCTATTCCAATCCAGTTCATTTCCAGAGTTAATTGATGGAAATGAAGAAGAGACTCTTTCTCTGATTATATGATTTGAGCTCATCTTTACAACTCTCAGAGCATAGTTCATACAGGCCTTTTCAAATCTAATAGCAGGAGGAGGAATTGAAGCTTCAATTTCCATTGCTTTAATAGGAGATGATTTGAATGCTCCCAGAATTCTTCTCAAGGCTCTGTTTTGCAGACTTTGAAAGAGTTCAGTGAAATTCCCTTGATTATTCCACCAAACTTGAACTCCATAATCAGCTACTGATGTGATACAGGCTATATATAACTGTCTCATAGCCTGAAAGGATAGACCTCTCTCTGTATTTGATAGTCTGATTATGTTGTTCAATAGTCTTTCTGCCTTGACAGTTCTTTGTTGAATGTGATATTTAAAATTCAACTTGGAGTTTAACCATACTCCTAACCATTTGATATTTACACTGGGTTTAATCTCTCTATTTAAAAGAGTTAGAGATAGTTCTTTCTCATTGAGTCTAGAAAAGAAATGAATTAACTCAGTTTTATTCATATCAAATTGAATTTGATTGATATCTGCTCTAACAAAGATTTCCTTTGCAGCTTCTTCAATTACTTTCAAATTCTCTTTGATAGTTTTTGAGCTGTAGACTAGACCAATATCATCCACATAACTCAGAGATCGCACTATTCTCATATTTCTATTTTTGAATAGATATGCAGTATATATTGCAAATAAAATGGGTGAGATTGAAGATCCCTGTGGTACTCCTATTTTTATCTCAGTCTTGTCTTGTTTCATTCCATCAAAGAAGAGTTGTATAATTCTTTTAGACATAAAACAGTTAACCCATTTTATTAGAGAAAGTGACAGTTTTAATATCTTCAATGTCTGAATTAACTTTGACTTTGAAACATGATCAAATGCTCCCTTTATATCAATAAAAACTGCAGTTGAGACCAGACCCTCATGCTTTGCTATTTGAATATCATGAACAACTGAGAGAACAGTGTCAATTACAGAACACTGTTTTCTACCTCCCATTTGTTCACTGAATAAAAGAGAATCATCTATAGAGCTTATAAAAGATAGTCGAGTAGCTATTATCTTTTCTAAAACCTTTTCTAAACAGTTCAATAGAGATATTACTCTATATGACTTAGGAATTGAAGTTTTTCTATTAGGTTTTGCAAGAATCACTCCAGTGGCTTCTCTCCAGCATTCAGGATGATATCCATTTTTCAAGAGATTGAAAAAGAGCTCAAAATATTCATTCTTTAAGTAGGAATATGTATTTTGAATAATCAAGTGATTAATTGAATCAGGACCTGCAGCAGTTTTAACAGAACTTGAGAAGATAGCTGACTCTAATTCATCTTGTGTAAGATCAGGCCATTCCCAGTCATTTTCATCAATGTAGTTGAGAAGTGATATATTCTCTTCCTCTGAATCTGAGTCTGAGTCTGATGAGTTCTGAAAGAGAATTCTCATGAAAGCTTGACATTTTTCCTCAAAAGAGTTTGCTGTATATGATTCATTCTGAAACTCATATTCTAAGGCTGGAAGTTTTGCTACACTTCTTGTTTTAGTATAGTTAAAAGCTTTAAAAATTTCCTTCCCTTGTGCTTCTTCAAGAAATTTATTCCAGCAGTCTGTTTTAGCTCTTTTGATATCTGAAAAATATTCATTTCTGACAGCTTTGAACTCTTCATCAGATATTACATCATTTTTCCAATCTCTTCTAGCAGTAGCTAATTCTTTCCTTTTAGATGAGATATTCTCATTCCACCAAGGTTTTGAATACTCAGAAGATTTTCTTTTTGGAATATTATCTCTAACACTTGTTAGAATAATAGATGTAATAAGCTTCACTCTATTCTCAAGCATTTCATTTGAGATATCTTGACCAGAATTCCAATATAGCTCATTCTGTCTTTCAGATTTTAGCAGTTTTATGCTTTCTTCAACTGCTTTCCAATCAGCTTTTTCAAAGTTATACTGATTAGAGAGAAGAGGATTTTCACTCATTTGTTTTTCACTCAGTTCAATATCAAATTGAATAATCTCATGACCTGATCCTGATGTCTCATTTGAATCAATAAACCAGTTTACAAGTCTTCTTTTCATTAGATTTTGTGACATGAAGGTTAGATCTATAATAGACTTCTGTTTCATGTCTTTTCTAAAGAATGTTTGTTGATCAGACTTATTAACCAAATCTATTGAATGCTCAAAGGTTCATTCAATCAGATTATCAGCTCTCACTGCTCTCTTGCATTCTGAATTCCACCAGGGATGATGTGCATTGAAATCTCCT